TGGCTTGTATGCGCAATTAGCTCAACGACAGGCGGATGCTGTGGCATGAAGTAAAGAGCCTTGTTGACCGGAATTTCTGAATTGCCAGATTGGTTCACAACCATTTGTATATATGCATGAATATATAGTATATGTATGGTTAGTGGAGAAAGAAGAAAACATCTTGGATGACTGATTTTAGCTGAAGAGTTTGTGGTTTCCACCTGTATTATGGTTCAATTGGGATCAGCTTCTTATGTCAATTTATGATTGATAAACCGCTTTCGCGTTTTGTATTCTGGTTCAACAGAGTTTAACCTTTCCGGGTGGTCTTGAGTATCGTGTCTCAAAACAATGACAAATGGTTTATTTTAATTGCGGTCATAGGTAAACTCAAATTATTGGATGCCCTCTTAATTAAAAGAATTTATGATTGTCTAAACTACATTTGTGATTAAAGAAAAGTAACTTAAGTTATCTAAAAACTAATAATGACTCTAAAATAAATTGAATAAGAAATCTAATTTTATCATCGTAACTGGGACTAGAGTTTAAATAAAACTAAGAGCTGATAAAATTTAAATGTGGCAATTACAAAAATTGGTAAGCTTGAAATGAATTCATCAAAGAAGGGCAATGAATTGAACTATAAGATATGGGTATATTTTTGAACTTAATAAGTGAAACATATTAAGCCATACATGCATCGTCTTGATCCCTAAATGTTCACATAACCCTTATGTCATGTACTGATGTTGTATATAAATCTATTACAATTTACTTATTTACAAATATCCTGGTTAAGAGGATGACTGGATGAGTACTCTCTTGGTTGAGCTCATTAATCCAGTGCAAAGTTCTTTGTAGAGAATAGGGATTAGGGATATTATGAACAACGTTTTGTGTAGAGTACTCTAGGAAGTCTGCCTCATCTAGAAGCCCCATTTGAGAAAGCACATGACACGCAGTATTATCTTTTGGGATTCCCTTAAAGAGAGGGATGATAGATTGAGATAAGGGGATCACTGTCATTACTCTAGTCCTATTTTGTATGGATTATCTATCCAGAGTATGGAGTATATAAACTTGTAATCCCGACTTTTACTTTCCTCACAAATGTGGAAAACTAAAAATATACTCCCTCCGTCCCGAAATAAATGTCTTGCTTTCTTTTTCGGTCCATCCCAAAATAAATGTCTCACTTCTTTGTTGGTAAACAAATCTATACAAAACAGTGTCAAACAGTATAAAACGGTGCCAAACAGTGTCGCTACAGTGCCAAACAGTGTCGCTACAGTGCCAAACAGTGTGCAGTCAAATTCATTTTCTTAATCTGTGTGAAAGTCAAATCAGGACGTTTATTTCGGGACGAAGGGAATACCACCTTATCTTTGCTGATTGCTTAATGTTTTATCTAAAAGGGACATATCCTCAATCATGACACTTATGAAGTGTATATAAAAGTTTCACAAGATAGTAGGTATGGTCATTAGCATTGACAAATCAAATACTAGTACATTCTTTGTAATTCTAAATGGACAAAAGAAAAATACTATATTGAATATGATTGAAAAAATGATGGTTTCCATTGCCCAATACTCCCATATGTTTGGAAAAAATGATGGTTTCATCTCAAAAAGGAAAATGAAGTGTATGAGTTATGCAAGTAGGTTAGAACTCATTAGAGTTGTGATACAAAGAGTCTTGACATATTGGCTCCAACCATTCCTATCCTTGTGGCAGTTTTGGAGACAATTACTTCTTAGTGCATTCAATTCTTATAGGGGTCCTAATGCTAAAGTGACATGTGTGGTTGTGGGCAAGCCAAAAGAAGAGGGAGGTCTTGGGAAGGAAAACAGATAAAAAATTCAACGAACACTGTTAGCAAAGACTATGAAATATCCATTTGAAGATCAGAAAGATATGCTCTGAGTCGAATGAGTTCACATTATGCATCTCATAGGAGAAAATGTTTGCGAATCAACACCTTCATGTAGGGTATCCACTTGGTTACCGCTTGATTAGAATTAGAGATGAATTGATTGAATTGATATGAGGGAGTGATGTAAACTAAATACATTTACTACTTGTGGGAAGTTCACCGCATGGAGTGTAAATGACATGCTCAAGACTAAAGGAGAAAGCAAACCATGAATGTATCTCATTTGGAAATGTGCATCCCACACAAAAACTTTGTGATTCTGAGAAAGAAGATTAGGCTCCCTATATGTGAAACCCATATGTTTACTGAGATGGATATAGCATGCTGATTTTGCAAATCCTATTTGGAATATGTCTCTCACCTGTTTCTATAGTGTCCTTTTCACTAGCATGGTTTGGAGTCTTAGAGAGGTGTTGGGGAGTGGCCGAGTGGTGCTTCAAGAGGATATCTTTGACTTTTGGGTATTGCGAAAAAGTGTAAGAAAGACTATAAAGGAGAAAGGTAATAATGTATTTATTAATGTTAATTAGGTTGCCTGATTATAGTAGGAATCTTAATGCATCTTTGACTCTTTTATTATAAATAATACTTTCGGGACTACCATTAAGGTGCACTTCCTCATTATTCTCACATGGTATCAAGAGTCTTAGGGTTTTATTTTTTTTTCCGGTAATCATGTCGACTGATGCTTCTTCATCGACCACAATGGCCGCGCGCCTACCACGGCAGCGCCCCGCCGGTGATCCCGGTTTCCGCCGAAGCAAGCCTAGAAGTGCATACTATGCTTGATTTCGAATGCTAAGACCATTTGTAGTGGTCAAGAGTCCAAATTGTTAAATTTGGATTCCGTTCATATGAAAATAGTGTTTAGACTCTGTTAATACTGTTTTTTTCCTGCACTCGTGCACCGTCAATAAAATACACTCTGCATATTTTTACTTATTAATTTAGTAAAACATTAACTAAATTATTATAAGTGATGTTTTACTTTTATTTTTTTCCCTGAATAATTATGAAATAAAAAAGTAACAATAAGTAAATTTCATTAATTTTTTTTAATGTTTTTCGGTTAACAAAAATGAACTTAGTTCAAGTAAAGTTCGATTATGGAATATTAAGTTACTTTTGAAGGCTCCATAAATCAAAATTTTGTGTTTCGTGTTTTTTGGCTCAAGAAAACTTCAAACAGTTAAAACTTCGGATTTTATTTTTTTCCATTTTATATAAAATATATTAAAAATTCATAAATTTTGATATAGTTAGTTTTTGAAACGATTGGTGAACAAATACAAAAGTTAGAGAAGTTTGAAACAATTTGGGATAATAATGATGTCACCATGAAGGAAGTCTGCCTTCTTTGCAACAGCATACGAAGACGTGCAGGCAGCCCCTCCCCCATTTTTTTACTCTGTCCCAAGCATTTATTTATACACTCTTTCACTTCCCTTCCCACTTTTACTCCCTCTTTTAATCCTCCACTACATTCAATTAAGAGTCTAAAAGTTTCATTTTTAATTTTTTTGACTCCTAATCCTTAACCACTACAAATGGTCTAAGAAGTAAGAATGGGACTCTTTTTGCTAATAAATCGACAATAACAAGAAGGTTTAAATATCTTTTTAGTCCCTGCAAATATAGTACATTTTGTTTTACATCCCTGTAAAATTATTTTTTTGTTTTTCGTCCCTGCAATTTATGTTAGTTTTCTTTTTGGTCCATCACCGATGATATCAACATCCGTTTGATCTGAAACTAATCCCGACTAATAGATTTCCTATAATCCCATGTCATGTTATTACAAAAGTATTTGATTTTATTTTTTCAAAGACTTTTAATATACATTTTAAAGATGTGAATATTTAGTTTTACATTATTTTAGCTCTCATATTAGCCTCAAAAAAATTATTAAAGGACAAATTTAAATATTGCTAGTGAATTTATGCAACTCACAATAATTTTTTTTCTAAGTAGGGTGGTTTTGGAATGAGACAAGGACAAAAAACAAATCAGGGCATATTACAGGGATGAAAAACCAAAAAAATATTTTGCAGGGACCTAAAATAAAGTGTGTCATATTTGGAGGGACCAAAAACATATTTAAGCCTAACAAGAAATACCAAACATAACAAGGTTTCATAAAGGTACTTGTGTATAAAGTCCTTTATGAATTTGACCGCACTAATGTAATTGAGTACTACCTCCGTCCCTTATTAAACTTCCAAATAGGTTTGGCACAGAGTTTAAGATAGTGGGTATTGTGTGGTGGAGAGTTGTGTAGAGGAGAGAGAAATCTGTAAGAATTGCTGTGAACCACAAATTCTGGCCAAAAAGGGAAAGTGGAAGTTTTAATTGGGACGGACGAAAAAGGAAAGTTGGAAGTTTATTTAGGGACGGAGGGAGTATTTAAGATGGTGCTAGGCTATGGGCTTTATTAATATCATTGAGCTTTGAGGATAGTTAACTTTTGGTACTTTTAATGCGTTGGTGTAAATTTTTGTGATGTTTAGGAGAAAGAGAAATTTTCTAAAAAATAGGACAAAAAATGTTTATGGGTTTGAAAATAGAATTATAACATTTTTATTTTTTAAATAAGAATAATTACTGTCATATTTTGTTAGTACCGGATTTTAATTTTAAAATATTTTCCAAGTTTAACAATAAGTACTCCTCTTTAAGAAATAAAAAGTCATATTTTAGATTTTTGAGACATTTTTGCTCATATTTCTCAAATTTTCCCTGAAGTCAATCTTGAAATGCTCTATGATGATGCATGTATTTTTTGCAATATGTTATACGATAGTATAAAGATTACTTTTTATAAAAAATAGATTGTGATTCATCTTGTTTTCATTTCTTTTTAGTTTTTCTGTGAAATACGGAGTAATTACAAAGTAATAATTAAAATAAATGACTTTTTTTAAAGAAAATATACAGTATTTTTTTGAAAGAAAAATATACAGATTTTTTGTTGTTGAACGAATATACAGAATTGTTATAAAATGCGATCTTTTAAATGTAATCACCTTTATTATATTTATTTATAATTATAAATATGTAGTAATTTCTTATTTTTTTACTTGGTTTGGCCGATGATTCCTTAATTCCACAATCTCAGTCTCTCTTTCTTCAGGTAACCATAATTCAGTTCAGCTATTGCCTTTGCGCCACCACAACCACCGTCCCCACAGCCACTTCCTTCCATTGCCGACTTCATATGCTCCCAGTAAATAATTTCTCAAACCCTAAACCCTAATCCATTCAATTCATAATACATGGACTTCCAACATCTTCACGGCTATAACCGGCCGCCTCCTCCGCCGCCCCTGCCTTCCATGGCAGATCCCCACTATCCACCACCACCACCGCAATCTCAGAGGCCGCCATCTCTACCGCCGAACTCATGGCACCCTTCACAATTCCAGTACCATCCACCGCCGCAGCATTCTCCATCTCATCCTCCTCCTCCTCCGTATCAGTGGAGTGCGCCGCCTCCTCCGTATCATGCCCCTTATCCTTCCCATCATTTTCCTCAAAATCATTACCCCCATCCTCCAGCAGCTAGACCTAATCTTCCTCCTCCGCTTCCACAATCACATCATCACACGAACCAGGTATACATACATTTGGTGTGTATGAAGTCTAGAAAAAATGTATTTGCTTGGAAGACTAAGAACTATAACTCATCTGTTTTGACAAAATTTTAGCAGGACTTGGGGAGCACAAACTGGGGGCATCATCAAACTTCGGACTACTCAGGTTAGTTACTAACTTCGCTACATCCCCCCATTTAGCTACTCTTCCTTTTCTGAGTGTTGATTTGCATATATACATATTTTCTCATATTCCATGATAAATTACAGTTTGAAATATTGGAGCATTGAAATGTATGATGCTATTTAACATATGCTATGTTTTGCATGATGTATGATGCAGTCATTAAAGTCTCCATCAAATTATGCATGCATCTTTATATACATACCATATTTAAGGTTTAAGATTTGTGCTTAATGTTACCTCCCCATCCATTAGCCCATACCAAAGAAGAAGATTGGGCTGCAAAGGCTAGGGAATGGGCTGCCGCTAAAGCTGCATCTGACAACCAACAACCACCATTAACACAATCTGGTAGACATGAAGAGCCCAATCACTACTACTATGACAGATATCCCCAATCTGCGGACCCTCATTTCCAAGATTCTCAACAAGAAAGAGTCTGGACACCCAGCTACCAACAGTTTACAGATTCAGTGGCTGCACCCTCTCAAAATGTACCTATTGGTCACTCACAAAAATCTTCTTATATTCATCATGATGAGCATTTATCTTACACAGACAGGGATGGAAGCTTGGCTGGTGATCCAACAAGTGCATTGCCTCAACAAGGAAACTTGTCTGTAAGTCCATTAGTCCATTGGCCGGAGGTACCTTCTAGTTATTCTTCCATTGGAGGTAATGTGTTTAATTAGGTGTAGTAAATTAACATCTGAAGCTCATTCCCAGGAATTGCTTTAACTTGTCTTCACTAGTTTACTGTAATAGAATTCCCTTTGTTAGTTAGCTAACTGTTTTGTACCAGAATAGACTATTCAATGCTTACTAGCATAAGAGAGATATTTATTTATTAATAACACCTGGAAATTAGTTCTTTGCAGGAACTTTTTAGGTACTCATAAACAAATTGTTGGAGCTCATAGAGTGACTTAACTTGCTAATAAGAATTACTTAAATTACTGAAATACCAATTTCATCATATGACGACAATTTCACAATCTCTTCATGCTTACCATGCTTCTGCATTTTGATGTGTATACATTGGTAAAATCAGTTTTAAATTGTATTTTTGTAATGGGCCAAAAGTCTTCTCTACAATTCCATTTTAAAAAGGAAGCTTATTTCCTTGAAATTTAAGGAATGGCCTAATTGCAAAGCCTGCATATTTTGTAATCAAGAGTTGAGTGCAGATTTTCCAACCTTTTCTTTGATATAATTCAAGTATTCAACTCCATAAGATTGCATTTCAGACTATCAATACTTAGCCATTTGATTAGTAACTTAATGACAGGGGAAGAAGTTGCTGGCAATCGTCAAAATGATAGGCTATATAATTCTCATTCTTTATCTGTCACCTCTGGTGTACAACATAATGTAAAACCACTGCCACCACCACCACCTGTTGGTCCTCTGTCTACAATGACGGAAGAGCCTCATCATTCATACGGGGGACATTTTACAGAGGCAATCAACTTGATGGACAAACCATTAGAGTTTGCACCTCATGTTAACCGTCACCATGGTTTGCATGTACAATCCAATCATTCACACTCTGATTCAGTGGGCTCTTCAAATGGTGTTGATCCTGTTTCAAGAATGACTTCTACTTATGCATGGCCTCCTGCTGCTATTGGGGTAATTTTTCCTATATCTCATTGGCTCTTCCTCCAAATCCAACAAGGGTAGCAGCTTACTCCTTTTATACCTTAGTATATGTTGCTAACCTGACTGACTGTCATAATTATTGTGTTATACACAAGGTTGAACCTGCCATGGTAGTGCCTTCTCCAGTTTTTGGGAGATTACCTGCACCTAACTTCCATTCAACAGTACCTACTGTGAATCCCACATTTGGTTACAGCAGTGGAGCTGCTGGAGTTACTACCTCTGTTACTTTTCCGGCTGATTCCTATGCAATGCCTAGTGACCGCCCTAAGAAGGTATATATTATAGCCAAACACTTCATCCATGATTAAGAGTAATTTATTTTTTATTCATACCATCTATTTTGGAGTTTTTAGGCATCTGTGCCTAACTGGCTTAGAGAGGAAATCATTAAAAAAAAAGCTGTCATCACTAGCTCAGTTCCTGATCTACAAAGGGATGATGACCTTGAAGATGAAGATGTTAACAAGCCTTATAGAAGAGGTGATCAGGTAGATACTAAAAGCATTGAGTCATCAAGATCTACAGAAGAAGAGGATGACGATGAGGTGATACTTTTGACTTTATCATAATTACCCATTTGGATTGTGACCCCTATTTATGTAATTTATGCAATTTGCATTTTGTCAATTGACACTCATATATGCTCTTTGTTGGAACTTGTCGTAAGCATCTCATAAACATGGTGTCAATTGGTTCAATATCTTTTCAAGGCTCCAATTTTTATAATTTGATCTTCATGCGAATTCCATATGTTTTTATATCTGCTTTACTTTTATCATCTTTGTGAGGTGATGTTTGAATTCTCTATAGTTCTCTCTTACTGGTTCTTTTTTAAATTTCATCAATTAAATGAGAGGTGACAGTACAAATGCTCATTTCTTCATTTAGGATGATGTTGATGCCGCTAAAACTGCAGCAATAAATGTCGAAATAAAGCGTGTCCTAACAGAAGTTCTTCTAAAGGTAGCAGCTGGTCAATGGTCCTGATGGATGAGTCCATTTATTTCAAGCCATATTTTTTTTACTTAATATCTGTTAACAGGTCACTGATGAGCTTTTTGATGAAATTGCGACAAAAGTTCTTAGTGAAGATAGCCCCATCCTTGAAGGTTTGGTTTTTCTTTGGTTTCCTCTGCCAGTTATTTTAATTCAAGTTTCTTCTGGATTTCTGCTGAGTCTAAGTTTTTACTGACAGCTGAATCAGATGCTACCCTTACTGGTAATAAATTGTCATCGTCCGCACGTGCTGTGTCAACTCCCAAGGCTTCTGCGAAGGTTCTTATACCATTTAAAATTAGAGAAGATTCTGGTGATGGCAACAAGCATTCTGCCTCTGCTTCCCCTGGGAATGTATTGGGTCTTGCAAACTATGCTTCTGATGATGATGATGATGATGATAATGATGAAATTCAGAGTAATGTTAAGACAATTCCTGACAAAGATAGCTTGGCTCAACAGTCAGTTGCAATAAATCAAGCAGAAGGCAAGATTCTAGTTGAGAATGGCAGTTCACTTGATAAAATTGAAAAGAAAGGCGGGTTGTCTGAGAATGTGGAGAATGCTATGAAAATGAGTCCAAATTCTTCCACAACTAGTCTTGACAAAGTTGGCAGACAACCAAGTGATGACAAGGAAGCTATGGAATTGGTGCATGGGAATTCTCGACTGCCTTCCAAGTCCAAGTCAGGAGTTCTAGAAGAAACCCTTGCTGTGGAAGTGGCTGTGGGAACTGAAGGAATAAACAGAGATTTCGATAATAAAAAGAGAAAACTGGATAGCTCTCATATTCGGGAAAGCCAAAACAAGTCGGATAATAATTGTAAGGCTAAAAATAAAGACATAGACAATATCAAGGATAAGTTGGATGATGGTGACCATAAAAGGCGCGAAAGATATGTCAAAAATGATCAAACTAGTGATGATAAAAAAGATCAAGTTAAGGATAATAAAATTTTTAAGTCAGTAGAAAAGGAAAATGAGCAGGATACGAGGAAAAAAGCTTCTGTTGATACCACAGAGAGCAAGGGGAAGACAGATAGGGAGAGCAGATCAAGTGGTAAAGGTGATATTACGAGGACAGAAAAAGGAAAGGATGAAAAAAGAGAAAAGTTGAGACGCAGAGGTGAAATTGACTCTGGCAAACATAGGAGACGACGGTCCTCCTCTATTGGCAGCAGGGGTAGGGAAAATAAGGACAACTTAGTTAGCTATCCCACTGATTCAAATGATGAATCTTCTGATGATTATAAAAGGTTTGCTTCTTCTATATTGTTTTTGGGGTTTCTGGATTTGCAATCAATGACATGGTTCTTAACTACCCTTGGTGCGGTGTGGCTACAGGAAGCCTTATTCAAGAAGACGAAGATCACCTTCACCTATCAGGGCAAGGAAAAGGTACATATGCGGATCTGATTACTTCTTATGGTATTTAATATAATGCAATATGTTTCTTTAAACTATCTCTGCCATGACTTATCACTATCGAAGTCTCTCTTTCTATGTCAAAATGGATATGAGGTTTGGTTTATTATATTTCATTTTGTACGGGTACTTGGTACTTTCCTAAACAAGATATTCGACAATTTCCACTACTAGGGCATCAGGATAGTAATCTGTTGATTTCATGAATACTTTTGAAGTATATGAAATTGACTATTTTGACTCACTCACATAGTAAATGAGGTACACCAGTGGTGCTGTGCTGTCTGTTTGGGTTCATGGCTTCATACTCTGCATATATATATATATATATATATATATATGGCTTCATACTTCCCCATCTTCTGTACGTTTTAGTGCATCTTGTTTCCTCTTATGGATTTGACTTTTTTATTTTGTTCCTGGTCCGATTCACTATTTGCCACAACTGGGCATAGACCAAGATCATTGTGGTCTAGTTCGGAGACATTGCTAACCACATTCTAGTTATTGCTAGCGAAGATTCCCTTTCATAAATTGTTTTAAGAATTTAAGCTATATAGCAAGCATATTGGAAGCAGATTGTAAACATAGAATATCTGAAGTGGCAATACTTTCAAAGCCTGTATTCTGAAAAGGTTGAGAAAGTCGCATCAAGAAAATTCATTATGATGCTTTGGACTCACTGGCTTAGCATGCGATGTTTTCATTTATAGACAAGTTTCGAGGTCTCCTCGTAGCAAGCATTCTCATCAGCGCAGGCATTCTCCCTACCCTTCTCTTGAGACAACCAGGTATTCTGCTTAGTGTATATTCTTAAATTTATCGTATCTTGTGTGTTTTATTTGGGATAACCCACGCCATCATGATCTACTATGAGCATAACAGGTGAAACTTGATAGCAGCTTGTGATAAATAGTTCTAGAAATATTTTCTTGTTTATAAACTGGCTCAAGTTAACTGCAGGAGTAGGAGGTCAAGATCTAGGTCTCCCATCCGCCGGAAGAGATGAATGTGATTTGTAGTAAAGTAGATGAAGCATATCGTTCTTGTCAGGCTTGCAGAAGCGATTGCTGGAGTTGTTTGTCCATCATCCGGGTAGGATTTCAGTTGGCAAGGGGAGGAAGAGCTCAGAGATTTTTTTCCCCGACAAGGTGAAGTGCAATTTCTAGACGGATGGAAGAGTTTTGGACGTATTATGCTCTCTTTTTACCCCACCAAATACTTGGTTAGTTGGTTGAGTACTGGCATCGATATGCCTATTAGTGGTTTGTCGACACTACTATAATGGGATCTCATGCAATCTTCACATGCCCTTCTGTTCTGTTGGGCATTTATTTGTTTTTAAACTAGTAATAAGCAGCAGGAATACTACCGTCAAAGTTTATTGAAGCATTATATTTTATGTGAGTATTATAAATTTATACGGAGTAATACATGCATGTCACTAAGTAACGCATAGCTACTAATCCATTTTTATTACGGTGTACGGAGTATTATTTTTATTTTATAAGCAAAGTCAATAAATTAGCCAAAAAGATGGAAATGAAAGTTGTATTCCAAGACTCCAAGAGCATCTCTGATGGTGAAAATTAGGCATGGATCTGATTAGTGATGGAACCGGGTCGGGCCTAGGCCTGGTGGGCTTTTGGGGTTTAAGGTGTAGGCCTGGAAGGCTGGAACCAGCCCGGGTATCCACCGGGTCCGGTCCAGGCCGGGCCGGGCCTGGTTATATTTTTTTTTGCTTTCCTAACTACCCTGACCCCCCCAAAACACCCAGCCCAACTCGGGGGGAACAAAAAAATCGAAAAAAAATATTGGCCCGAACCGGGCCGCGGGGCCGGGTCACCTTTTCTTCAGCCCGAGCCTGCCATGCTAAACCCTACGGTCCGGGTCAAAAGACCGGTTTGGGGCCCAAAGCACCGGGTCGGGCCGGTGGGGGGCGGGTCCGGGCTCGGGTCTTATATTTGGCGAACCGGCCCGGCCGGGTTGGGCCCGGGTCCGGGCCGAATTGATTTTTTTTTTTCCATTTTTTGGGGTTCCACCTATGGATGGACCCGGGCCGGTTCGGGCCCGGTTCGGGCCTAGGCCGGGCCGGGCCTCGGGTCTGTTTTGTTGGGCCCGAGCCCGAACCGGTGGCCTCCGGGTCCGGGTCCGGTTCCGGGCCGGACCGGGCCGGGCCGGTCGGGCCACCCGGTTTAAATTTTTTTTTTTTCCTTTCTTCCCCCACCCCCCCCGCCCCCCCACCCCCCCAACCCCCCCCAAACCGGCCTAAACAGATAGCCCAAGCCCAACAGCCCAAAACAAATGAAAAAATTAAAAAAAAAAATAGATTTGGCCCGGACCCGGGCCCGAACCGGCCGGGCCGGGCCGTCAAAACCATGAACCGAGCCCGGAACCGCCCCACCCCCGGGCCTCCGGCCCGAACCGGACCCGGACCCGGATAACCGGGCCGGGCCGGGCCCGCACAGTAGCGGGTCGGGCCGGTCCCGGGTCGGGCGACCCGAACCGAGGCCATGCCTAGTACTTCCACCCGGGTTGGGCTTGATGGTTAGGAGGGGTTTGGGGGTGGGGGGGGTGGGGGGGGTTAGGAAAGCAAAATATATATATATATATATATATATATATATATATATATATATATATATATATATATATATATATAGACTAATATTCAGGTCCGGCCAGGCCGGACCACTCCCCCCGTCCGGCCTCCTCCATTTGGGGGCCTTCCCGGTGGTATTTTTTGCTCAAACTTTTTGTGTAGGTTACTCATCAAGTCTAGTTCATCCATACCAAATTTCAGCCAAAAATTCAATCGGGAAGGTCGTCAAATGATTTTTGCAAGTTAACTGGTCCGGATAAATATATAACCAAACCGGAGGCCCGGCCCAGACCCGGACCGGACCCGGTGGCTACCCGGGCCGGTCCCGGGCCTTCCCCAAAAAAAAAAGCCCGGCCGGGCCCGGCCCTGAACCGGCCCGGGTCCATGACTACCGCACAGTAGCGGGACGGTCCGGTTCCCGTGCCGGGTAGCCCGAACCGGGTCCATCACTAGATCCGATCGGGGGAAGACCGGGTGCCTAATCGGGTGTATAGGGTACCTGGTCGAGTTCAATGATTTGGGGACCGAACTGATCGGTTCCGGTATTGGTCTTGATCAAATAATGTTAAAAAAATTCATGACGAAGATAACTATACTCAACTGTCAGTTGCAATAAATCACATAGATGGCAAGACTTTAGACGAGAGTGGCAATTCAAATTCTTCCACAGAGTATTGAGAAAACTGGCAGACAACCAAGTGATGACAAGGAAGTTATGTAATTGTTGCATAGGGATTCTCGACTGCCTTCAAAGTCCAACTCAGAAGTTTCAGAAGAAACCCTTGCTGAGGAGGAAGCTGTAGAAAGTAGAAACTGAAGGAATAATCAAAGGTTTTGATCATAAAAAGAGAAAACTCGATAGGTCTCATATTCAGGAAAGCCAAAATTAAGATAATAGTAAGGCCAAAATTAAGGACATAGACAACATCAAGGAAAAGAGCTTTAAGATAGGTAATCGTAACCATAAAAGGCACAAGAGACATGGCAAAACTAGTGATGATAAAAAAAATCTAGTGAAGGATGATAAAGATTTTAAGCGTGTAGAAAAGCAAAATACTCTGATGTGAGAAAAAATGAGAGAGAGAAAGATGATATTGGTAGAAGGAGAGAAAAAGGTAAGGATGAAAAAAGAGAAGAAAAGTTTAGACACCGAGATGAATGTGACTCTGGCAAACACAGGAGGTAAAAGTGTTCCTCTGTTGGCAGCAGGGGTAGGGAAAAAATAAGGATAGCTTAGTTAGGTAATGATGATTTTGATGACGATGATGATAATAAAAATTTTAAGTCATTGAAAATGGAAAATGAGCATGATGCAAGGAAAAAAGCTTCTGTTGATATCACATAGAACAAGGGGAAGACAGATAGAGAGAGCAGATCAAGAGGTAAAGGTGATATTAGGAGAAGGAGATAAAAAGGCTAGGATCAAAAAAGAGAAAAGTCTAGAAGCAGAGATGAAAGTGACTGGTAAACGTATGAGACAATGGTCCTCCTCTGTTGGCAGCAAGGGTAGGGAAAATAAGGATAACTTATTTAGCTATCCCACTTATTCCAATGATGAATCTTCTGATGATTATAAAAGGTTTGGTTCTTCTATATTGTTTATGCTTCTTCGATGACATGCTTCTTAACTACCCTCGGTGGGGTGTCGCTACAGGAAGGCTTATTCAAGAAGACGATCGAAGATCACCTTCACCTATCAGGGCAATGAAAAGGTATGAAGATCTGAATACTTCTTATGTTCTTTAAGGTAATGCGCTGATAGGTGAAGGTGATCTTCGGGTACTTTTCTATCCATGTTATTTCACTACTAGGACATCAGGATGTGACTGTTTATGAAAACTTTTTAAGCATATGAAATTGACTATTGTGACTTTTTACTCGCTTAGTAGATGAGGTACATCAGTGATGCTGTTGCTATTTGTTTGCGTTCATGGTTTCATACTCTGAATGTATAGAATTTTCCCTCCCCCCATTTTATATCCATTTTAGTGTGCAACTTGGTCCTCGTCCAATTCAGTTTTTGGCACAACCGGGCATTAATTAGACCAAGAGCATTGTGGTCATTGCTATTAAGGAGTCTCTTTTCTTAAATTGTAATAAGCTATATATCAAGAAAATCTATTATGATGCTTTGAACTCACTGGCGTAGCATGCAACGTTTTCATTTATAGACACGTTTCGAGGTCTCCTCGACTCCTCGTAGCAAGCTAAGCATTCTCATTGGTGCAGGCATTCTCCTACCCTTCTCTTGAGATAACCAGGTATTTTGCTTAGTGCATATTCTTAAATTTATTGTATCTTGTGTGTTTTATTTGGGATAACCTACCCATCATCATCATCATCATCATCATCATCTACTATGAGCATAACAGGTGATACTCGATAGCAGCTTGTTGTAAATAGATCTCCTAGAAATCTAATCTTGTTTCTAAACTGGCATAAGTTAACTGCAGGAGTAGGAGATCAAGATCTAGGCCTCTCATATACCAGAAGAGATGAATGTGATTTTCTTTATGTAAAGTTGATGAAACATAGCCATCTGGTCAGGCTCCCCAGCAGTGGTGGTGGATTTGTTTGGCAAGGCGTAGAAGAGCTTAGAAATTTTTATTGGCTAGATGGATGGAAGAGTTTTGGATATATTGTGCTCTCTTTTTATCCCACCAAATACTTGATTGACTAGTCGCATATATATGTCAATTAGTGGTTTATCGACACTAAAGATGTTTTTACTTAGACGGTTTTCATACCAGACCAACAATTAGTGGTTTGTCGACACTAAAGATGTTTTTACTTGGACTGTTTTCAAACTAGACCAAACTTGGATAGTTATAAAATACACATAGAGCAGACATTTATCAGACTAGACCAGATCAGATCAATTCAAACCGGTTCAAACCAGACCAGATGAGACCAGATCAGACTAGATCAACAAATTTCAGTCCACGTAAAAATATCCTAATATATTATGGCATCTTGTCATGCCTCTATGTTCTGTTGGGGATTTATTTGTTTTCAAACTAGTAATAAGCTGCACAAATTACATTTGTTTGTATGTGATATAATAAATTTATAATACATGAACGTTACTCTCTATGTCACGCTAAAATTGTCTCATTTTTACTTAGTAGCCTGTCCCATTAAGATCGTCTCATCTTTACGGAGTATATGATTATGCTTTCGATCAAAATGATACGAAGTATCATTTTAGTTCAAGAGAATCAAATCTAAGATCCGCTAAAAACCTCCATTAGCCCGATTTAATTTAGGGAACCTCTGAATTGGCAATTTACGAAAGATTATTTCTTTCTTTTTTTAAAGTAAATTTAACATGCTTATGTAGGTTAATATGACTATCACCTGAGCGATTTTTATTTTTTAACAACATTTATATCTGAATTAATTTAGGGAAATTTCTCGTTATATGACTAAACATGTTTATTATTAGACATTCGTATGACTGGAAAGCATAAAAAAATCTTGTGATATTAAAATACTGGAAAACAAAAATACCCTTAAAGGTGCATTTTGCACCGCTTTCTCCCAATTAAAAATATTGCACTTCATGTTAGCGATATGGGATGACATCATTGCACCTCATGTCGGCATTACTGCAAGACATTACGAAAATGTTAGAAATTTTTAGCTCTTTTTTGTTTATTTCTTCTTAGATTTCATAGCTTTAGTTTCTTACGCCTAATTAAATATACTGTAATTTATGTCAGCATTCTTTATTGTTCTACATTATTGCACTTCATGTCTTAGTCATTGCATTTCTGGCCAATATTATATTGTGACATTATCTATTGGCTTCGTTTCACTGCACAACATCCTCTTTCAATGCATTCATTCATTGCCACGTAATGATCAAACTGCTCAATGTTTTAAAATACACTGCACATCATTACTGATCTAGAAGCAAAGAGGAATAAGAGGACTAAAAGGAGGACAAAATCAGAACAATGGAGTCAACATCGGTGAGCGCAGATCAACCTTGGCTTGCATGACCTCAACATTGTCGACCCTAGGTCTCTCTTCAACAATGATGAGAGGTGACCTTGGGCTGTGCGACCTCAACAGTCGCGACCTCTAATATCGGCGTTGGAAGGATTGATTGGTGTTGTGGATTCGTCGTTAGCAGTTGAAGAATCTAAGTCACTGGAGCAGTGGTTGGGATGTTGTAGGCAGGTGGCAGGGGGATACAGACGGACGGCTAGCGAGCCGCTAAGCGGGTGGAGGCCAGAGGAAAATGGCGAACTAGTTGCCATCTCTGTTAAATATATAATATTTCCATTTTCAGGTATCAACAACACTTGACAAAGATGGTTATCCTACTTTTTTTTTACCCCGGGGGGGGGGGGGGGGGGGGGGGGTCAGGGGGAGTGGGGCTGGGGTCTAGGGTAAACTAAGATCAAACTCACTCCATTGAGTATTGAACCCGGAACCTCCCATAAGGGAGTGTGAGTTGATGATCAACTGAGCTGAACTGCTTCCTCAGGTGGTTATCTTATTTATAGGAGAAGAGAGAATGGAAACACAATAGAAAAAAGGTGTTTTCCTAAACAATCGTCATGTTGTGGCTTATAACCAAAATTGATATTAAAGTACGCACCAAGCACAAATCAACATGTAATGGTGTAATCGAAGCACTTTGATCAAATACATATTCAAGTATATATATCAACAAAGGATATGATCGGATCACATTCGTTATTAATCCAGCACACGACGATGACTCAACCCAAATTGAAATTATTGATGAGATCAAACAATATCTTGATTGCAGGTATGTATCACCACGTAAGGCGTGTTGGAGTTTTTTCTTTTCTTTTCCTATTCATAGTAGGTCTCCGGTAGTTTAAAGACTTTTCTTTCACCTTCCCAATGAACAATTTGTGTTCTTTAGTGACAACCATGACATTGAGTCATGCTAATAAGAAAAACTGTTAAAGAATCAATGTTTACATCGTAATTGAATGCAAGCAAACAAAATCTATCTGGAAGAAAAGTTTACATCTCGATGCAGAGTTTCGGGGTTTGTGTATGTAGCTAACAAGAGGTGTTGGAAGCCACGAAATAAGGGTTACACTATTGGTGGACTCATGTGGGTACCTCCAACAACAGGTGAATTATTCTATTTAAGAATGATGCTCACTGTAACAAAAGGGCCATGTTGTTATAAGGATGTTAGGACAGTTGCCAACATTCAATATCCAAGTGTCAGAGAAGCGTGTTTTGCGACGGGATTTCTTGGGGATGATAAAAAATATATTGGAGCATTGAAAGAAATTAAGGACTGGGAATCAGGGCACTACTTGAGAAAATTATTTGTAACTTGGCTCTTATCATGTCCCGTGAGCAGACCTGAGCAGGGGAACAAACTTGACACAAGATGGAGGCAACAAGCAGACGGTTGTGCGGCAGAATAGTGGAGGCAATCAGACGTGCGGCGGGGCGGCAGTGCTAGACAGCCGTTCGGCGGGATGACAAGGGCAGGTGGTCAAACGGCTGACAGTGGGAGGCTAGAGGCTAAAGTTTGAGAAAAGGACTAGGAGATTATTAGAGTTATATGGGCTTAACCTAAGTGGTATATTAGTCTATAAATATTATTAATTAATTTATTTATTAATTATTACAAAAAAAATTGGGAGAAAACTAGTTACGTCGTCATGGATTGGGAAAGTAAGGGAGTTTTAGTCATACCTAGAGTAATTTTCTCTTGTATCATTAACTTTATTTTAAGCTGAACATTATAAAATGAGCCGGCCCTAGAGAAACCCTAGGCGGCGAGCTTTTGGACAACTACTTTCTGGTTTCTTCTCTCAGCCTGACAAGAGTTTTGATGATTGTGATGTACGTTGTCTAGACAGTAATGAATAAAAGGTTTTGCTATGTTCTCTCTCTTTTTATTTCTATCTTCTAGGGTTCTGGTTTTTGGTCCGACATCTTCTTTGACCAGAGTTATGTCCTCTTCAGGTGAGCGTGTTTTTATTCTTCTCATAGCAATGTTTAGAGGCTGTGAATTCCTCGTCGATGTAACCTTGCAAGTGGTTCATCATTAATGGTTGGCAAGACAGGTTCAACATAATTCTTCTGAAGTTTCAACTACTCGCCCTCCCAATGAACCAGGCCACCTGCTCACTCAAAGAAAAGGATACCGCTCAATGGGATCTCCTTTTCGGTGGCTGGTCAAACGTAACTTATGATCTAGACAATTTCTACTCAATTGAGTTTCCTTTGTTTATTTCTGATCAAACAAATTCTCCCTTTTCGGTGGCTGGTGAAGCTGAATCTTTTAATTGTAATGTTTTATTTTCTCTTTGGAATAGCTAGAAGAGTAGCAAGACTATTAGACTAAACTACATTATTACGAGGTTAGCGATCTGGAACGATTCATTTGATCTTTTCTGTTCTATATTTCATCCCATTGTAGTCTTAGGTTATATATTCTCTTGTATTTTGCTATCTTTTAATAATAAAATAGTTACTACCTCTGTCCACCTAAGTTTGAGACAAAGGGGTGTAATGTGGTTTTTAAGAAAAAGTAGAATCGTGTGGTTGATATTAAATTGATAAAGTGTGAATAAAGTAAGAATGAATTCTAACCACTCAAATATTACCAAATATGGTTGGGACAAATTTAGTGGGACGGACAAAAAAGCTAAAACGGGACAAACTTAGGGAGACAGAAAGGAGTATTTGATTTTAAAAAAAGTTAATTTGTATGACTAATATAATACTTCGTATTTGAATCATTTACTACTACACCTTATCATAAGTGATACTCGTATTAATAAATATTTAAACGTTTATGCTCAATATGTAAATACGAAGTATATGGAAATACGGAATTGAGTAAAAAGATTCCTGCACGAACTTTGCTCAATACTCCGTATGTAAAAAGATTCCTGCACAAACTAGTTTTCTATGACTCTCCCGCTAAAAGAAAAGACTCAATCGAGCTATCCATCGATAAGGATAAATATAAACCCTAGCTATACATCCTTTCTACCCTAGCTATCTTCTTCTTTCGATGACCATATTTCCTCTCATCACAAAGATGGCAATAGAGAGACAACTTTATTTTCTTCTTTTCACGTTTATATACATACTAATATTCACGGCAGAAGCAGCCACCGTTAACTTCAGTGTTCTGACATATGGAGCAGTCCCCGATGGTCAAACGGATTCTACGGCCGCGTTTTCGGCTGCCTGGGCGGCAGCTTGTGCCTCCTCGGACGCCGCCGTCATCCACGTGCCCGAGGGAAGGTTCTTATTGGGCAGTGTGGTTTTCGAAGGGCCATGCAAGAACAATGACATAAGGTTTAATATAAATGGTGTTCTTGTGGCGCCTTCGGACTATAATGTCATCGGAAGTGAGGGTAATTGGGTCAAGTTCAGTAAAGTTTCTGGCGTTTCCATAGTTGGCGGAACCCTAGATGGCCAAGGTTCGAGTCTCTGGTCTTGCAAACACTCTCACGATAACTGTCCGGAAGGAACTACGGTACGGATATTGCATTCATAATAGTAATAATCAATCTTCTAAAAGACACTAGGCGCTAGTCGGGCTCCAGCCCAACGCCTAGAGCCTAGGCGGGCGCGGGCTCCTAGATTTTTATCTAGAAATTGTATTTTTATCTATATTTTTGCATAAATATGATAAGTAATATTGTATTTTTGCGTGTATAAAATACATACGATAGTATATACATATACATACATTAACAAACATGAATGATAGAATTATCACATTTAATTATACGTAGTACTCCCTCGTCCCATTTATATTATCCCGTTTTACCTTTTCGGGAAATCCCACTTAAATTGTCTCATACCATATTTGGCAAAGTTTGTGTGGCTCTAAATCATTCTTACTTTATTCTTACTTTATCAATTAATATCAACCACACAAACCCATTTTTCTTAATAACCGTGTCACCCTCTTCCGTCCCAATATAAATGAGACGGAGTTAGTATATGATAACTAATCACTTAACTTCATTATTTTATACTATCCTCCGTTCCAAAAAGTTGCAACAGTTTGATTTTCACGTTTGCCAATGCGCAACTTTGACTGTAATTATAGTTATTTACGTATTAGTAAACATTAAAAAAAGTTAATAAATTGGAAATTTACATTAATACAAATTTATTAATATTTTTATACATAATATTTTTATTATATATATTATTAGAAAATCGTAATCAAAGTAAGGTGTGTGAATACTGCAGAAATTCCAATGTTGCAACTTTTATGGAACCACTACAAAAAAACACGGGCGTAGTCACGGATTTAGTCACGGACTGCATTTTAAAAATTCCGTGACTAAAAAGGTTAGTCACGGTCATCAGCCGTGACTAAATCCGTGTCTTAATTGGCGTGACTAAATGCAGTCACCGCCACTTCGCCGTGACTAATTGTAGTCACGGACTAGTCACGGTCGGTGGCCGTGACTACTTTTACGCCGGAGAACCTATACCGACGTGTTAGTCACGGCTTACAGCTGTGACTTTTAAATTCTTTTTTTTTTTTAAATATTAGTCACGGCCTAATCCGTGACTAATTAAATCCGGTTTTAAAAAATCCGCCGTCTTAGTCACGGTTTCAGCCGTGACTAAGTTTTGAAATTTTCAAAATTTTCATAAGCCCGCCCGCGGTTGTGCTATTCTTGTTTCGAAATTTTTAATTAGTCACGGACATGTAGCCGTGACTAGTTTAATTTAATTTTTTTTTAAAACTTTAGTCACGGATTATGGCCTTGACTAAATTAATTTATTTTTAAAAAAAAAAATTCGGGTTTTTTAAAACCGATGTTTTTACATATTACATATATAATTTTATTTATAATAAACTTATATTAAAATAATAATATAATTTATTTATAAAATTGTTTTATTTCAAAAAAATATTAACAATTATCTTTAAAATTTTCTTTATTAAAAATATTATTCTAATTTTTTTTAAAAAAGAATTACATTTTAAACGACAGTAAAGCAAAAATAAAACATTAAAAAAACACATACAACAAACTAAATAGATATTTATGACTAACTTTTCAATGTAATATGAAATACTAAACGTTAAATGTATGATTACATGTCCGTTCATCTTCGGACTCCATTATGATAAAAATTAGGATCTTCAGCATCATCATCATCATCAACAACAACAAGAAACTCTCCTGGGTTCATGGGGGGGTCTTCGGGCTGCTGCACGGGGTCTTCGGGTCGGGTTCCTCCTCGGGGTCCTCCTCGGGGTGCTCCTCGGGGTCCATGGCTCGGTGGACCACTACCTCCTCCAGATGACCTCAAAAAATCGAGGGAGATAGATCCGAAATTCGGACCCATCGTAGGCGTGACACCGTATCCGGAGTTGGAGAAAAAACCCATACCGCCCATGTGCGGAACTTGAGGAGTTTGCTCAGGGTGGAATACGTACGGGGGAGGAAAAGGCTGGTGCGGAGGCTGGAATCCGGCACGCATGAACCGTTCCATCTCCTCCAGTCGGGCTTTTGTGGCCTCATCTGCTTTCCGCTGCTCCTCCCATCGCCATTCGTGCTCCTCCAGTTCACGCTGCATTGTAGCAATACGAGGATCTTCTCCCCGCCTTGACCGAGAAGAGGAAGCGCTGGTGCTTCAATCATACAAAATCCGTTGCCCCTCGGCCCCCAAGCACGGAACCCGGGCCTTGTAAACCCCGGCCGCCTCAATGGCCGACTCATCATCCGCATCGGAATCGAGGTCGTCCTCTTGGGTCAGGTAGCCCCAACTTAGACATTAACTGCTTCATGCGGTAATATGAATCGGGAAGGGTATGATCACGCGGTAGCATACCTCCTACTGACTGCAAGACTCTATTCATGCAAGTTTCAGGGAGACTGTATTCGTCTTTTATGTTCATAAACTCTGTAACGGCGGATAACTGAGTGTATCCCTCACAATCAGCATACAGAGGTTGGTCGGCAGCTTTTAGAACATCCTGAAATCTCTCAGCCAAACCTTCATCCACATAAGGTTGATAAAATGACGGATTTTCATCCGCATCTGGTCGATACGAGGTCGAGGCTTCAGGGGGGTCGTTAGATGATTGTGGGGGGTTGAACTGAGACATCGGTACACCGTATGCGTCATATACCATTTGTTGTTCCCACCTCATTTCAGCACGGTCTCCCCACCCACTCATCTCTGGAGGGACGTAACGAGACGAACCTACCGTTTGTGGTATAACAGATGGATCCAAAGGTTCGCCGTGAGTAGTCCAATTATAATAATTGGGAACAAAACCGACCGCATACAAATCATACCCAACTTCGTGTGGCTCTTTAAATTTGAGATTTTTACACTTTGAACATAGACATCTTATTTTATCACCACTCATATAAGCCGGATGTTCAAGTGCGAATTCAATAAATTCCCCGACTCCATCGAGAAAATTTGATTGCAATCCGTACAATACCGCATCTTTATCATACATCCAACTTCTATTTCGTTTATACATTATGCCTGAATATTATAATAAAAAATTATACAGGCTCAAAACAAAGGTAATTAATGTAACAATAATACTACGTTTAGCTAATTTTAAGTATTTTATTTCACTAAATAGTCAACTAACTAATTTTCACTAAATTAAATGAAATGCACACAATTGACAATAATAATGCACAAAATATAAGTAATTATGTAATACTTAAATTTAACTAATGTTATAAAGAAATTAAGTAATTTAATTAACACTACATTTAAATTAAACCTACGTTTAACTAAATTTAACTAATTCATTTCGGTAATTAATTAACAACATTTTTTTAAACACATTTTAATTAACTAATATTTAAATCTAACTAATATTATCAAAATTAAGTTTAATGAATCTAACTTAATGAGTAAAAACCCACGTTTAACTAATTAATTCTACTTAATTTTACTTAATGCAGCACTACGTTTAAATTAAACCTACGTTTAGTTAACTAATTTAACTTAATTAACTCATCACTACGTTTAAACCTACGTTTAGCTAACTAATTTTAATTAAATTGTTCTCTAAATTACACCTAAAACTTTAACTAATGTTATGACATATATAACCACGTTTCTAGTTAAATATACTGTTAATTAATTAACAACCGCAAGTAATTAAGTAGTTCCAAATAAAAAATAATAATTCAAAGAACATACCTTATCTGCATAAACGGGGAAAATGACATAAGATAGACTACATGCTTCGACCTTGGATCTTTCAAATAGATACTGTATATACTGGGAAGGAGTTGGTGTGGTTCTGCTGAATGAGCAGGTTCTGCATATATAAAAAAACTAGTCACGGACTTAGACACGGATTTGTCCGTGACTAGGCAAATACGTGTACATTGCGCGTCCAAACCGTGTAAATGACGTGTAAATCACGTGTAGACTACTTTTATTCGTTTTAGTCACGGTTGTAGTCACGGAAATGTCCGTGACTACAAATTTTACGTACATAATGCCGTTGGGAATTAAGCCTTCTGGGCGCTGGAAAAATAATTTTTTTGTAGTCACGGCTGTAGTCACGGATAAATCCGTGACTAAATTGCCGGAATAAAAACGGACAAACCGGCGACGAGGTCGGGGCTACCGGAGGAATTTAGTCATGGTTCTTAGTCACGGATTTATCTAGTCACGGACGTAGTCACGGCTTTTTCCGTGACTAATATTTTTTTTGAAAAATCTGTGACTAGTCCGTGACTAGCCCGTGACTAGGCTAGTCACGGACGATATCCGTGACTAAAGTCCGTGACTACAGGCGTGTTTTTTTGTAGTGAACGGAGGAAGTAAATATAAATAATGATAAATTTTAGGTATATATGCAAACTATATAGTTTTATCTTAATTTACAACTTCATTTCTTTATATCTATGGCTAAAGCTAAAGTACGTATATCGCTTAGAAAATTAAAATTAAAAAGTGAAGTAATGTTCGACGAATCTAGGAGGCCTAGGCGGCCGTTTAGGCGGCCGACTAATTCACCTAGATGACAAACCAATTAATCGGAGCGCTAGACGGAAATCGGGACGTCCGACCACCAACTAGGTGAGGACTAGTCGGACGCCTAGAACGATTTTTAGAACAGATGTAATAATAACTATATTCTCTCAATTCCAAATTGATTGTCTCAATGCGGACTAGGTAAAATCAACTTCTTCCCACAGGAAGAAGTACGTGAAAAACAAGGTAAGGTGGGTCCGCCACTGTTCGAGATGATATCACCATTAGAATCAAATGTTAAAATTTACTCTCTGTATGTTTAGAAATTACTTTAAAAGTAATTATATTTTATCACAATTATTCAATTCGTGTATTATAGAAATCCTATTTGACCAGTGAAGTCCTTAGATGGTCTGAGATATACGAGTAGTAAATAAATAGTAATGCAAAGTGCAAACCCTAGCAAGGTATTCCAAATTCCCGATCGACAAATACGTGTTAAATAAATGTTCTTGTTTAATTGGGGTAACGTGATTAAAATAATAATGCAAACCCTAACAAGGTATTCCAAATTTGCAATCAATAAGTGTTAAATGTTAGGGTTAGGACATATGGTCAAGTACAAGGTATTTTGGCTTTAAGTGTCCATTCGCGATACTTTAGCGTTAGATTGAAGTAAAATACTGTGATGCTTTTTCAATAAGAAGTCTGTTAGCTATTTACTTCGGTGTCCATTTGTAGATAAACTCTGTTAAATACGACTCTATAAATATAATGCGGCGATCATTGGTTTTTGGTAGATTTTATGATATCCATAAGGTACCATATCTTTGTTCATATGGAAAATGTTGCAGTTGAATTATTTAAATCTAAATTAAAAATAATAAAATGGTGTGGTCCAATTAAATGAATGGTAGGTACGGTACCCCATTTTTTAAAAAGTTACCAGAGTTGTCACCTTAGTGAATTTTTAATGAATACTATTCATTAAACAAAAAATTATATACCTAGAACAAATATACTCGGTATAAATATGTCAAAATAGATGAGAATGCATATGTTTGTTTAATACTCCGTATGAAGTACACAGTTACATTACCAATATACGTAGTATTTATTTTATGGGAGATATATACTTAAAATTACATGTAATACTTTTTTCTTTCTTAGAATGTTTTTATTGGATTATTGATTTCGGTCTCACACCAGATGACACCTAAATAAACCAGGCCGGATTAGTTCAGATCGTATTAGGTCGAACTTTGATAATGGTAAAATGCACATAAAACAAACATGTGCATGACTAATTCAAATCAGTCTAGTTCAAACTAAATTAGATTTAAAAAGGATGATCATTTTTTGATATATGTGTGTAAATACAGGCACTGAGCTTTTATCACTCAAATGATGTGACTATTAGCGGATTAAAGTCTCAAAACAGTCAGAAGTTTCACATTCTCATTCATGGATGCGACAATGCTCAATTGGAAGAAGTTGATATCTCAGCGGCTGAAGATAGTCCTAATACGGACGGTATTCATGTCCAGAAGTCATCTAACGTGAGAATATTACATTCTAAAATTGGCACTGGTGATGACTGCATCTCCATCGGCCCCGGAAGTTCAGACTTGTGGATCGAAGACATCACTTGTGGTCCTGGTCACGGAATCAGGTCAATAACCTTCCATATCATTCATATTCATATCACCATGCATATACGTATTACTTTGCAAAAGTTACAAATTTTATACTTTTATAAATATTACCCCGTATCTTAATTTTATACTTTTATAAATATTACCCCGTATCTTAACAAAAGAAAACTTTCATACCATTTTCATACGATAGTATTTTGTATGCAACTATATCACTCGTCAAATTTTAACATCTTTCACAAAAAAGTCATAGATACCATATATGTTTCTGGGGACGTTGGGAGTATGCATGAAAACAATTTTACTTTTGATACATAGTTGCATTATGGAATATTTGGTATAAAGGGATAAGCATATTTTAGTGAGGAATTCTTTGTCACGTTTGATCGGGTCAGATTTAGGACTGAAATAAGTTCAGGTAAAAACATTTTTACTTATTGATCTCATGCCTTTTAACTGATTTGACAACCTCTTTTATAGATGAAAAACCTAAATGTATAAGCTAGTACGGTTCCGATATCCAATGGGTACGGTTACAGAACATATTTCTAGACCCGCCGGGTATATGGGTCGGGTCTGGAACTATATAGAGGTTAACAGGTCCGGGTCTGGAACACTACATTTCGACCCGCACCCGGCCCGTTGACAGGCCTACTTGTCACGTGTTAATATTCTTGTTTGGATTGAAAGTGATTAATTTGGTTTTTATCTGGTTTAGTCTTGTCTCATATGTTACGTTTATGTTAGATATTATGTACATTTTATAATTATGTTTACAATTTTGATTCTATTTGGTCTATTTATATGATCTTCTCTATTAAAGTCTGAGAATGTAGCAAGTCTATTTGAAGAGTTCCATATTGGTGTAAAGCCATTTAGCTAATTTCACAGCTTCGTTTAGTCTTTTACAAATTAAAATATACGAAGTATAACTTATAAATAAGATAGATTCTATGGTACCCTAAAGGTACCATACCTTTGTCCACTTGGACCAATCAGAATATTGCAGTTGAATTATTTAAATCTAAATTAAAAATGATATAATGATTTGGACCAATTATGTGAGTGGTAGGTACGATACCTTTCTTTTTAAATGGGTACCGGAGTTATCACCTATAAATAATGTATAAGTAGTTGTATTTCAATCTGTGTAGCATTGGGAGCCTAGGTTGGGAAATGGAAGAGGAAGGAGTACAAAACGTGACCGTCACCGGAGTTAGATTCAGCGGCACACAAAACGGATTTAGGATCAAAACTTGGTCGCAGCCAAGTAACGGCTTCGTTAGAGGCGTCAATTTTCAACATGGCTTCATGTCTGACGTCAGAAACCCCATCATCATTGACCAAAACTACTGCCCCAACAGCAATGGCTGCACTAACGAGGTAATCGCTAACCTGTTTTCACTAAAATAAAATAACGATATTGGCCCGGAACGGATCGATCCAATTTGTCACTGATCATAACATATTTTGGCCTCGACAAAACGTTATTGACACGAAATTTGGCATAAATTTTTTTTGCCGAATTTCTGTTATTTTTTTTTGTAGTGTTTTATACGAAATTTTATGTTACGATCAATTTGGTCTTAAGTCTTAACAAGTTTGATCTCGACATGGAAAAATTTGGTATTATGTGTATGTTTGGTCTTAACTTTGTTATATAGTTAGCCATGTCATAATATAGAATTTGATTCAAATGAAAACATGATCTAAAGAAAGAAACGAAAATGATTCAGGAGCATTGGATTTGGATATCATACATTATGTAAAACAAAAATGTGCAGGACGTAAATTAGATGATGTAAACTATAACTGTGTATAGTTTAAACACACACACACATGTTCACATCATAAATGTGAATCTACGTGAACCATGATGTGTATTGTTTTGGATCGAAAAAGTGTTCTCACCAGAATCGAACCCTGATAATGTGTATATTTACATTTAATGTTTAGGGTTCGGGCGTGAGGATTAGTGATGTGAACTACGAAGACATACAAGGAACATCAACAACAGAAGTGGGAGTGAATTTGGATTGTAGCTCGAGAGAACCATGCATGGGCATAACGTTGAACAACGTACACCTGAGATGCAAGGAAGAAGAAGCCCTATCCTCTTGCGCCAACGCCCATATCACATCCTCTGATTCATTTGTTAATCCATCCAGCTGCCTCACTGCCCGCTAGCTCCGCCCTTAATTAGCTTTTGGATCCATGCCAGCTGGTGATTCTAAAACCTAATGTTTTAGACTTAGCTTTTACTAGATTATTATTATTATATGGAATTAATGTAGTCATTAGTTAGCTAGTTAATATTAATATAGTCATTAACGTAACGAATTGGTTACGTTAACACACGTAGTCAGTAGTTAGACTTTAATCATACTCAATAGTTTAATTTGTAGTTTTGATATTTCAATATAGATTTTTATACGTACTATTGATACGGATTATAGATTTACGACTATTTCAATTTGCGGTTTTTATGGTTGAGTGATGATAAAGTTATACTACGTACGTAGTATCTTCTCTCCTAATATCTAAATTTATTTTGTTTGTTCGTTTTTATCATCAAACGGGACTCTATTCATATCAAAAGATTCAAAATCATTACATCAAGCAAAAGGAAAATAAAACTGACACCAACTGAAACTTCAACAACTACGACTGTAATCCTATGATGAGACTTTGAGACGGTCACCCCTGAGAGAGCAACACGAATCGCTAACCATGTAGTGGGTTTGACACAGCCAAACCTATTCCCATAGATCCAACCATACCCAATAACATAAAGAGAGGCAAAAAACTCAAACAAACTGTCAAAACCAACAACAAAAGTGGACACAAGAAAACAAATAACAAACAAATAAAAACTACAAGAAAAGCGTTCACGAACTCTAGCACCTCGTACATCCCATGGTGGTGGTTCAGGAGGAGGTCTTACCACCGGTACCATGCTAATTGATACTCTGTGACCTTTGTCTGCCAAAAGCCATGCATCAATCCTCCGTCCCTTCATAACCAAACTCATCCTTGCTTCATGCAACCAGAGTAAACGGATAGGCGGCGCCGATCTTCTCCAACGACGACAGCAATACATCATCCTCGAACCTTGACCACAACGCCGATCTCCTCGAGCCATGACAGCAAATCCGCCCTTCGAGTATGAAGCACAAACAACAGCAACCGTCCTTCGATTAAAATCAAAGACGGAAATAGCGGCCGTCCTTCGATTAAAATCGAAGACGGAAAAAGCGGCCGTCCTTCGATTAAAATCGAAGACGGAAAAAAACTTCAAGCGGCCGAAGCCCTAGAGAGAAGCGCTTTATTTTGTTTGTTAGAATTTACATATTTAGAAAGGTGACAACGTACTTCGGTACCGGCCATTTTAAAAATGGGGTACCGTACCTATCATGCATTTGATTGGTCCAAATCATTATGTCCTTTTTTAATTTAGATTTAAATAATTCAATAGCATTATTCTGATTGGTCCATGTGGACAAATGTATGATACTTTAAGGGTACCATAGAATCTACCATTTAAAAATTATATTGAAAGTTTTGTAGAGTTGCAAAACTAAATTAGAGTATGATAAAAAGTTAATAACCAAAACAAAAGAACAAAACAAAATGTGTTGCTTAAGAAAAGTAAAGTACATACAAATCATTTTAGACATCTTATACCAAAGAACCTTAAATATACATGAAAATATATACTACCTCCGTTCTTAAATAAATGTAACATGTTGAATTTACACTATTCACATCTCTACTTTGACTATGTTTTATTTATTAATGTATTAATATATTTTGTTAAAAAATATTGTTAAATTTGTCTCATGGTATATTTTCAAAATCTAATTTTTTAATTTTTTTACTAATAGAGAACTATATATATTAATGGTCAAGTTAAAGTTAGTAGTAATATTATTACTATTAATAATAACTCCAGCTTAACTAATACTCCCTCCATCCCAATATAAAAGGCACACTTTCCTTTTCGGTCCGTCCCAATATAAAAGGCATATTTCCCTTTTTGGCAAACAAAACAGTGCAAAACAGTGCCAAACAGTGCCGAACAATGTCCAAACAGTGCCAAGCAATGTCTAAACAGTGTCAAACAGTGTTCACCCTTAAAAACTCCCCAAACACAAATGTGCCTTTTATATTGGGACGGAGGGAGTATTTTTTTCTCTCTCTAGGGCTTTTAGCCGCTAAAGCTTCAGTTTCTCCGCTCTCGGCCTTCTGAGGTGCGGCCGTAGGCAGGGGGTGTTTTGGGGGCTTCGGAAGGTTGCTTTGCGTTTCGTTTTGCGGGTCAAAGGACGAAGGGCGAGCGAGATCTTGGAGTAGCAGATTTGAGCAGGGCGACCGGTGGTTCAATTCGGCGGAAAACGTGATGGGCGGAAGAACGACAAAGGAGAGTGGTTCGAAGAAGTATGTGTTGCACGGAGTGGTGTGACAGATGAAGGTTGCTCGGCAGGAAATCAATCGTGCGACGGATGGGAGCAGAGCCTTTGGTGCTAGGGTTTGGGGCAGTGGCTTGTTCGTGTCAACAATCATATCGATTGTCTGACCTCCTCGTGAACCACCGCCAGGGGGTTTGCCTGGTGGATCTATGGAGGTGCTCGTGAAGAAGGAAATGATTTTTTATTTATATGCGTTTACTGTTGTTTTTTGTCATCAAATTGTTATTTATTTTGTTGTTATTATTTTTTATTGTAAGACTCTTGCATTAAGATTGGGTGAGGTTAGGTCTACTTCAATCGTCTGTAGCTCAAGTTTGCCCATTAATGGATCAGCGAGTTATATTGCTTGTTTGAAGGTGATTAACTCCAAGTCTGGTTCAAGGGCTGACGGGTTTTTTTTTGTCCCAGTAACATGGATGGTGTGACTCGCATGTAAAGAAATGTAACTCACATTATTGATCAATGTAACTCAAGCTCATCCAAAATGTAACTTGTCAAATATTGATTTCAATGTAAGCAATGAAAAAAAGTCTAATTGCACAATTGTTTTAGGTAAAACGTGAATATGTTTTGTTTTTAATATCATGGTTATAAAAAATAATTTTTTAGAAAAGATCATTTTTTGTTTCAATAGCAGGGGTTGATTTGTTAATGTAACTCGTGTTATTACAAATGTAACTCATGTTGATGGCAGATTTAACTTGGGTGTATACAGAATGTAACTTGTTGTAAAATTGAACAATGATTTTTGTGTGTGTGTTTGAGATATTATGAAAATTGTATTCAATGTAAACAAAGAAAAATTGATCTTAATATCTTAATTACTTTTTTCTAAATAGTGAATGTGTTTTATTTTTAATATTAGGGCAATAAAAATGATATAGCTGGACTTTATTCCGTGTGTAACTCGCATACATTAAGATGTAACTCGTGTATATTAAATTGTAACCCGCGTATAGGTATAATGAGATGTAACTTGCACAGAAGAAGATTCAAATGTAACTACAAAAATCAAAATAAACAAACTCAATGTCTTAAAAACCTCTAAAAAATATAAATTCAATAGTAATTTCAATTGAAGAAAAAAGTAAAAAAGTAGTGTGTGATTTTTTGGGCAAAAGTAGTGTATGATTATTAATGCAATAAACTTATTTTATGTGGATTAATAAAATTTTGTATGATAATTTTTTTAAAAAAACTTAATTGATCAGTTATAATTAAATTAGTTCAAAATGAAGATAAGCAAAATCACAATTAATATTTTTTAGTATTTTGATGGAGATGAAGAAAGAATTCAAGAAAATAAAAGAAAAGTAAAGAGAAAGAAATAGCATGCCTGAAGCATTGGATGACTTGATGGAAAAGAAAGTGGGTGGACTTAAGAGAATTTGGAAAAAGAACAAAAAAACATATGTAGTGCTCCCATAGAAAGAAAAACGGTGCCGTATGTGGTACATGCATACCATGCTCATGGTATGTCGGTACCACGGTATAATTAGACAAATTGAACCGGGTTATTTCTTATGTAGCACGGAACTTCTTTGGAAAGAGTACATTTTCGTTTCGGAAACTCTTTAGAAACTCTCAATCAAGCCTATTTTGAGTAAAAGTTTACGTTTCACATTTCCCGTTTCCTAATGATTTTCGCATTTCATGCAACATAGATTATATGGCTTCATTATATTATATCCAAAGATTCTTGGTGCCAAACTCTCGGATTTAACAGGGACACTTAGCAATAAGGAAAATGATGTTTGTACCCACTTTTATAGCCACTTTTGTACCCACCCATGTTTGTGAAGTTAGTTTTTTTGTCTGTGAGTTCCTTCACAGACAAAATATGTCTGTGAAGGAATTCAAAGGCATATTTTGTCTGTGAACCGACTTCAAAGACAAAAAAATAGCCTTCACATAGATAGGTATAATGTGGGTACAAAGTAGTGAATACAACAAGCATGGTTGTAGCGATAATGTGTTTTTTTTCCAAAATAAAAACAAAAATGCTAGGAGTACCTCAAATATACCCCATCTTATACCCCATATAAAACCTCCCCTTTTTACCATCCTTTTTACCCCCTTTTCTCTCACATCTCTCATACTCTACCCACTCTCTTCTTTTCCGTCAAAAACACACCCCCCTTCCTTTGTTCGAGGCTGCTACAGTACTCAAGCCAAGCTCCACAAACCTTCCTCCTTCATCTTCTTGAATGGATATCATGGGGACTGAGGTGCATTTGGACGAGTTGAGTGGGGAAGAAGGTCAACTGAATGGTTTGACATGGGGAGATGACGTGGGTGACGCTGTGGGTGACGGTGGTAATCTCCCATCTCCGGTGGGTGTTGAACTGAATGCGACTTCAAGGGAAGAAGTTGAAGAAGGTGTGGAAGTTGAAGCTTTGGACTGTTTGGAGAAGGGTATGTTGATTTTTCCTCATTTTTTGGTATTTCGTTGGTTAGACAGACAACTTGCATTTGCAGCGTCTGTCTAGCCTAAACTCAACGTGGTTTCATACTTGCTTTCAACTGAACGTGGTTTCGTAGTTGGTAGAGTGGTACATAAAATGTGTGTGCGGCCAGACAACTTAAAATGTTTGTCTGTGTGCGGAAATGTCTGTATTCGCATGGGGAAAAATGTATATGACTATGTATAAGCATGTATGTATTCTACTGCACATTTGTGTTGTTTTACTTGAGTAAGTATTTTAAGTAAAATGATACAGTGAACATGTATAGTTCTATTATGGTAATTCTCTTTAAAAGTGATGCATTATATTAAGTGTGTGTTTAAGTGAACATGTATCCTTTGATTAAATAACAGATAAAGTGGAAGAAGAGATTTGTAATAAAGTTCCCTTTGTTGGCATGGAGTTCCCAAGTAAAGATGCAGTCCATGATTTTTACAAGGAATACGGGAGAAGAGTAGGGTTTCCTGTTAGAATACGAAATTCAAGGAAAGACGCGGATGGAAGCAAAATTGCAATTGCATTACAGTGCGGGCATGCGGGAAATAGACAAAGTCGGGCACAAAATGTTTTTAAACCTCAACCTTCAATGCAATTTGGTTGCTTGGCTAAAATTAGAGCACGTATAAATTATGAAGGAGCATGGGTCATTTCAACGTGTTGTTTAGATCATAACCACCCTATGAGTCCAACGAAGGCTAGACTATTTCGGTGTTATAGGAGGTTGACACCAAAAGCTATGAAGCAAATTGCAATCAATGATGTCGCGGGTATACGACTTAATAAGAGTTTCCACTCACAGGTCGTAGAAGCAGGTGGATATGATCAACTTCCATTCATTGAAAAGGATTGTCGGAACTATATAGATAAGGTGCGTCAACTTAGGTTGGGGGTTGGTGATGCAGTTGCATTGCAAGATTTTTTTTTAAAAATGCAAGCACAATGCTCCGGGTTCTTCTTTATGCTTGATTTGGATGAAGAGTCACGCTTACGGAATGTATTTTGGGCGGACAATCGATGTCGATATGCTTACAAAGATTTTGGTGATGTTATTACTTTTGACACGACATATCTTACCAATCGTTATGACATGCCATTCGCGCCATTTGTAGGAGTGAATCACCACGGACAATCAATCTTGCTTGGTTGTGGCCTCATCTCGAGTGAAGATACGCAAACGTTTGTGTGGCTTTTTAGAGCTTGGCTTGAGTGTATGGACGGTATTGCCCCTCACGGAATTATTACCGACCAAGATCGTGCTATGCAAAATGCCATCCAACTAGTGTTTCCAAATACACGACACCGATGGTGTTTATGGCACATAATGAAGAAGCTTCCGGAGAAGTTGGGTGGGTTTACCCATAAAGATGAAATTATGGCCGGTATACATGATGCAGTATATGACTCTCAATTCCCTGTTGACTTTGAAGTTGGTTGGAATTCACATTTGGAAAGGTGATAGACATTAGTAATCTGGGACATAATGCTTATTTGTCAAACTGACAGACAACATTTGTCTGTGCCAGACATCAATAGTCTGGGACATAATGCTTGTATGTCAAACTGACAGACATAATTTGTCTGTGCCAGACAATAGTAGTCTGGGACATAATGCTTGTATGTCAAACTGACAGACATAATTTGTCTGTGCCAGACATTAGTAGTCTGGGACATAATACTTATATGTCAAACTGCCAGACAAAATTTGTCTGTGCTAGACATTAGTAGTCTGGGAATAATGCTTGAATGTCAAACTGACAGACAAAATTTGTCTGGGCCAGACATTAGTAGTCTGGGACATAATGCTTATATGTCAAACTGCCAGACAAAATTTGTCTGTGCCAGACATTAGTAGTCTGGGACATAATGCTTGTATGTCAAGCTGACAGACAAAATTTGTCTGTGCCAGACATTAGTAGTCTGGGACATAATGCTTGTGTATATCAAACTGACAGACAAAATTTGTCTGTGACAGACATTAGTAGTCTGGGACATAATGCTTGTGTATGTCCAACTGACAGAAAAAATTTGTCTGTGCTAGACAAATTGGTTGTAACTAATGAGTTGTGTATTCATTATAGGTATTCACTTCAAGATGATGAATGGCTTAAGGTCATGTTTGAAGAACGCCAAAGGTGGGTACCTTGTTACTTGAAAACTTCATTCTGGGCAGGTATGTCCACAACTCAACGAAGTGAGAGCATCAACGCTTTCTTCGACCTTTTTGTGCATTCTAAAACAAGTCTAAAACAATTCGTGGAGCAATATGGTTGTGCCTTAAAATTTAAGGCTGAAAAAGAGTTTCAAGCGGACGCTGAGTCATTTTCAAAATTGGTACCGTGTGTTTCGAAATTTCCTATGGAGAAACAAATGCAAGGTATATACACAATGGCGAAGTTCAAGGAGTTTCGAGATGAAGTGGTTGGCAAGCTTTATTGTGACATCATTCAATGGGATGGCGGTAAAATTTATCATGTCAAAGAAGAAGTTAAAATAACAGAGGACTTTTACAAGACTGTTTACTTCATAGTGGAATATGATTCTGGCTTGTGTGAATGCAAATGTAGTTGTCATTTGTTTGAATTTAGAGGCATTGTGTGTAGACATATGTTTATGGTTCTACAGCGCAACGATGTTAAAATCTTGCCTGAGGTGTACATCATGCGGAGATGGAGGCAAGATGTAAAGCGCCCTTACACACGAGTGAAAATAAACTATGATGGGTGGATCACAACAGTGCAGCAACAACGGTATGACAAGTTGTGTAAGACTTTTGAAGATCTTGCAAATGCCATTGCCGATGATGAGGAAAAGTATAAAAGCGTTATGCAATGGATGCAAGACCAATTGCATAAGTGTGCCGGGTCAACTACAACTTATTCCGTTTGTGGTGTTATGACACAACTTCCACAATTACATACAAATGTGCATGGGGAGGCGCCGGGTCCAATTCAAGATCCGAAGATCACAAAAAGGAAGGGTGCACCGAGGAAAAACCGCATAAAAGGCCCTCTTGAAAAATCAAAGAAGAATCAAAAGGTTTAATGCAATTACATATACATTTTATTATTGTGTTTTAGGTTTGGTCTTTTAATTTATTAACTATAGTTTTTAATGAAATTTTCAGGCGGATCCAAAACCAAATAAATCAAGGAAGAACCCTAGTGGAATGCACACAAGTGACATTGCCTCAAATCAAATTTATGATTTTAGTGTATTAACACCCTGTGTCAATGATAAGGGGTTGGATTTGAATCTACGCTTATTATGAATGACCGTTGTATGTAGTTAAGAATGAATTTTTAGTTGGAATTTGAAATGACTTGTCATTGAAACTTCCTCGTTTGTGATTTCATTGGTTTGTAGTTGGAATTTGTTGTTCGAGTGAAACTTCTGAGACAGACAAAAAATGAATACTCTGCCAGACATATTCACATACCGAGACAGACAAAATTCAATACCCTGCCAGACATATTCACATACCGAGACAGACAAAAACGAATACCCTTCCAGACATATTCACATACTGAGACAGACAAAAACGAATACTTTGCCGAACATATTAACATACCGGCACAGACAACATTGTATTCCCTGCCAGACATATTAACATCAAAAACTTAATTGCATTTGCTGAAATTATCGTCATGTAACCGCTTTTTCTCAAATGCCACCTTTGTATAGTTTGCAACTTATACAAAAATAAAAACATAAAGTTCCACACACATCGTACAGGGAAATTCATAGTGTTTGCAAAGCTGGACTATTAACCGGCAAAAATAGGCTTCCCAAGCTAATGAAGAATTCTTATGATTCCTCCACCTTCTTCAATCCCCACAATCGAACAGCATATTGACATCTCTTGTTCCACATGTTGGCATACTCACAACCTGGAAGCAAGTCCTTTCCCATTAAAAGATGCTCTGCAAACGCTGCAATCATCACTCCGCACTCTCCTGACCTGTAGACAGACAATTAAAAATAAGACAGACATTTACCATAAGGTGATAGACAATATATGTAATGTAAATAAAGTTTAATATAATACCCTCCACCCTGTTGGGGAACACTCTCAACTAACTCAGCAACCCATGGTTGTGTTTCACCCTCTTCTAGTGACATCGTAAAGACCCGATGGAGGTAGGGCAGGCGTTCACACAGTTCCCTAACATAAAATACACTTCTTGCCGTCTTCATTGAGTCATAAACCCTAACCCGCTTCTTATCAATGACAACTTCAGCCAAAATCCAATGCTTGTTTTCAATGTTCAAAGGAATTAAAACCTGGCCACGTAAAATTAAATTGGATTAATCATTTAAAGTATTTGTAGCGTTGTGTTAACAATTTATATTTTACCCTTTCCAATGATCGCCAATCTTGTTTGGTTAAAAGTTTGTTTGCAGCCCAATCTTTGACATTGCCTTTGGACTTCCTCATTATTTGTTCCTACAAAATGGTTTATGTATTAGTGGGTATTCGGTTGTACAACGGTTTAACCTATTCATACTGTAAATTACACCAACGTAATCTTATACGTACCACAAGATAGGGGCTAAGTATTGTAGTGTTATCTGGCGCATTGTCTCTATTCAAAATGAATGATAGGGCATCAACATGCTACAAAAAAAAACAATGTCAAGTACTCAAATTGCACACTATATCATCATAAAAAGGTGTATATGAACTTACATAGGTTGCCAACCATAAGTTACATGTCACAAGGTCTTGAAAAAAGCCTCTAGTCACTTCAAATTCATCAGGAATAAGTAAAACCACAGAGTAAGGAGGCTGACTGTCATCTGCCTCTATCCAATCCTTCAGTTCATTCCAGTCCTCCAGGCTTTCATGGATGAAGATTGGATTGATGGTGTGACTCGGTTCAGTGATGGCTTTCAACCGCTTTCCTTTTGGCGCTGTATAAGGGCTAACCCTGTACTTGGATGGGAATTTTAGTCGTTTACCAAGTATTTCCATTGACATTTGTTGTGGTGCTTGAGATTTAATGGGAGCACTTTGCAAATCTGCCACAACCTCATCCCAATAAGAATCATCAATTGGGCCTGATGATGCCAACTCAGCATCAACCACCTAAATGAAAATCATGATAAGCAAGACAGTGTCAAAATGTTTGTAGCCAGACATTTTAGTATATAAGACAGACATATTGACTTACTTCAAGAAGAGCCGGTGATATGATATCTTTCGCAGTTGTACCAACATCAAACTCCCTGACTTTATTTGCATCCTCCATTGGTCCAGATAGTTCAGTCAAAACATCAGTCACCTACATGTCAAATTTGTCATTAGCAAGACAGTGTGAAAATGTCTGTAGACAGAAATTTTTATGTATAAGACAGACATATTGACTTACATCAAGAACAGCGGGTGATATGATCTGCTTAGAAGGTGTAGTATCATAACAGTCCGTGGCATGGTTTTCATCAGCCATTTCTCCAGATGGTTCACTCACAACAGCACCCACCTACATTAAATCAACCAAGTGCATGAGTGTTCAAATGTTTAACAATAGAGAATTCAATTTTGTATGACATACATATTAACTTACTTCAATAAGGATGGGTGAGATGATATGATTGGAAGTTGTAGTAACATCAGTCACAGCTGGTTCACCTACTGCTGCATCCATCTACATGAAATCCACCACGAAAATAAATTCAGTTTTAAAATGTCTGTAGACAGACATCTTGTATTGGATGGACAGACAGATTGACTTACTTCTTCAACGTGTGTTGGCTCGTTTTCAACATCTTCTTCAACTTGGTCTTTATCTTCAACCTCATCATCATCAACTTCCATTTCCATGACCTTATTCTTAGAACCAATCTGCACAAGCATTGTATTAACACAACACTCCCAATGAAAGAATCAGAAAGAATTTTATGGCATCAAATATTATTTACCTCAGTCGCCTTCTCTGTCACGCTACCCTGTGCACTGAATCTCTCTTCCATCAACTTCAACCTGCTTTCCAAAGCAGCCACATGCTCCCGGAGTGCTTGCATCTCATCCATGACTTTGTCTTTGAAACCCTTGTCCCGAACTTCTTCATCCTCGTTATCATTCTCAGAATCATGTTCCTCCTATACAGGAATCTTAAAGACTAAAATAAGATGTTATTTGAATGCAAAAATCAACAAATTCAGATATAATACATCATCATTGTCCTTGAACACCAATTCATTCAACTTGCGTGCGTGAAAGAATCCATCGGCCTTCCAGTTTAGCATAGGAATTTCTTCATTACCAATACGTTCAGCACAGTGTTCTCCTAGGTTAGGCACGTTTTCATACGCCCAAACCTAAAAAAAATTATAAAATTAATATGTCTGTCTGCCAAAAGTTTACACACACAAATGTCTGTGTGCACATAGAAATGTCTGTCTCAACATTAAACTACAAAGAATGAGAAAAATACCTGTAGTATAAAAGGACATCCATATAGAGTAAACTTAGCAGTTGTGGCCTTGCTTTGCCTGAACCTGGTGGGCTGCTCTTTCATGATACTTTTGAAGTTGTCAATCATGGTGTTATAGGACTCCCTACCCCATGGATACATCTTAAATTTCTCGAACTCGTCTGCCCACTTCAAATACACCAAATTTATCTTGGTTTTATTATCCCGAGCAAGTAAAACCGTCAAAATGTAACACACGGACAATAGCTTCACAGAATCTCCACTCTTTGTACGCCTAAATGACTTCAACTTGTCCTTCAACATTTTGTACGTAATGTTCGTGGATCCACGAAAGTACTTGTCAATTAGCGTCCCATGCACTTCATCATCATCATTGAAGACAGGATTTTCGGCTGATGATTTGAGACCGGATATGCGACAGAAATCAGCATACGTAAACTTCAATAGCCTCCCTTGAATCAAGAACCACAGCTCGTCTGCAGGTTGGTCCTTCACTAGCCTCAGCAGTAGAGAATGGATGATTTGGCCTGAAAATTGTATGTCTGGCACGGACAGTAGGTGGCCCCATGGCAAATTCCTAAATTCTTGCAATTGATCCTTTGTCAGCGCACCTTTTACCAAGCTTACAACCTCTCTGAAATATGAGCACACAGATAACTGGGCTGGAAAGTGCTTGCGAACTGGAATTTGTACTTCAAATGACCTGTATAATTAACACAAATACAAATCAAACATTTCAGACAACTCAGAAAGAAGGACAGACATTGTATATCACTTGACAGACAAGTGTGTTCACAGGACAGACAACTACACACCAATATAAACAATTTCATATCACATGCACAACAAGTCTATGTCGAAATGAGGAGCCAGACAATTTTAATGGTTTGCCAAACAACTATGTCTGTCCTTAGTAAGAAGGTTATATGGTTGAACATATTAATGTATAAATTTGTGTTGAGTATTTTGTAGGAAGGTTATATGGTTGAACAAATTAATGTCTAAATTTGTTAGACATTAATGCAAGAAAAACTGATAAGTAAAAGAAGGTCATCTGGTAAAAAGGATATTTTACACTTGGAGTTCATACTTTAAACCAGAAAGCTTATAAATCAACTTTCATATTTCAGAAAGCTGAAAGCAGAGCAAAGAGTATGCTTTGACAGTTTGACATATAACTTAGTGTATAGACCATTCATAACTCAAAAATAACATTCAAAACTCATACATTATAAAGCATTCTTAGCTTACAAAATTTACATTTAAAACATCTCATTAAGCAAACTTGCCAGACATCTGAAATGCTGCATTGGTTACATCCCAAATCACAAATTACATCTACATAGAATACTACAATAGTACAATGGCTTGCCAGACAATCCATTTCCAATGACAGACATCTCATACACCTGGCCAGACCACTATAATGACATTACAGACAATTTTCAAGAATTCAAAATTAACTGACACACACAACCAAATAACCATGCACAGACAAGTTCAAAGTGGTCAGACAAACACAATGACAAACAACACCAAAATTACACACCAAGAAAATATCAATCCAAAAAAATTGAAAAACATTACATACCTTTCAGCCATATGTGTTAAGCTTGGATGAAGTTGGACCTTAGAACCTTCAGGAGGGCAGTTCGTTCAACGGTGAACAGTTCAGGAGGTTTCCAGTTGACGGCGATGAGGTTTCCGGTTGACGGCGGTTGACGGCGGCTCCTCGCGCTTGACAGCTGTTGTGGCGGACGATTTGTGGGGCAGAGGACGGCGTTTGTGGCAGACGACTCTGGAGTTGACGGTGGGGAGGCTTGAGGTCGGTGACGGTGGGGAGGTTTGAGGTCGGTGACGGTAGGGAGGCTGGAGGTCGGTGATGGTGGGGAGGGGAGTTTTTCGAAACTGTCTGGGGAAGGGAAAAAGTGGGGGGCGGGAGATTTGGTGAGGAGAAGGGGAAAAGGTGGGGGGGGCCGCACGTGAGGGAATGGGGAGGGGGTAAATTTTTTTTTTTGGAATGGTTTTTATATGGGGTATAAGATGGGGTATATTTGAGGTACTCCTAGCATTTTTGAAATAAAAATAAGGAAATGACGGCTCTGCACAAAATTGAAAAGAATTGTACTCCGTGTAACCGTGTGTGTACTTGTATTAAATTGAGGTGAGGAGTAATGACTGTGGCAGACGGCATTGTTGGTGGGGACAATCTCTGGGCGCCGCCACTGTGAGCATTGTGCAGATATTCTGTCTTCACCACTTTCAACCCGTATCAACAAGGAAGGAGGTGCTCTCATCTTCCACGTGCGAATTTCAGTACTTTAATTGGTAACACCGAGTATTTTGTTTGCACACCGTGACACCGTTTTAAACCTTTTTATAAATTCTAGGGAAAAAGGTGCAAATAGGTCATGTATTAAAAAAAAAGGTTAAATAAGTTCTTATTTAAGAAGTTCTGTCCGGCTGTCGTCATTTGGGGTGGTTCCCGGTGGAATTTCTTGAAGAATTTTTTTAGCATCTTATTCATCAAGTCTAGTTTGCTCATACCAAATTTCAGCTAAAACTTCAATCGGGAAGGCATTAAATGAATTCTTGAAAATAACTGCGCAGTTAGAAGCGCAGTTATTTTCAAGAATTCATTTGAATGCCTTCCCGGTTGAAGTTTTAGCTGAAATTTGGTATGAGTAAAGCAAACTTCATGAATAAGATGCTAAAAAAATTTCATCAAAAAATTTCACCGGGAACCACTCCAAATGGTGACGGCCGGAAAAAATCTCCTAAGTAAGAGCTTATTTGACATTTTTTTGTTAGTGCATGAGCCTATTTGCACCCCTAAATTCTACCGTATTGGAATTTGTTATTCTGATTTGGTTGAGATATTGGTAGGAAATTATCTTGAAAGAGAGAGCAACACTATATAATTCAATATACTAAGGCTAAAAGGTCAAATATGTCAAATATGCCCTCTAATTAACTTAAAAGTGCAAATCACCTCATATATAGGAGACTCTGTCCGGCCGTCGTTATATACCTGATGCCAAATTTTTTGATAAATTTTTTTGAGCATCATTAAATCTAGTTTACCGATACCAAATTTTAGATAACAATTCAACCGCGAAGACAGTCAAATGATTTTCTGAAATGTACTGCGCTGTTTAACTGTCCAGTTATCTTCACAAATTCATTTGACTGTCTTCCTGATTGAATTTTTAGCTAAAATTTGGTATGCGTAAACTAGACTTAATGAAGAAGATGCTCAAAAACATCCATCAAAAATTTCACCGGGAGCCGTCTTAAATGGCGACGGCCGGACAGAGCCTTCTATATAATGGGTGATTTGCAATTTTTAAGTTAGTTCGAGAGCTTGTTTGACCCTTTAATCATATACTAAAAATAGTGCAGTAAATACAAGGGATTCATGTCGATTTATAACGTCGACAACATATCCACTAATTATAATTTATAAATACTATATGGACCTGATCTAATTTATGAGCTAATATTGATGTTAATGATCTATGGCCATACTTAGGTATAACGGGTAGATTGTATTTCACCTGGCCCATTATCCCAACACTAATTTTATTAGTCGATTTTTTCATCAATCACGTAGTTTTTTAATTTCTCATGTTGAATTATGTAAAAACTAAAATAAGTAAAATATAGCTACTTTTGGGTCTAAGAGCATCTACAATGGTAAAATTTGAACGGTGCATACGTGACATGAGAGATAACCAATTAAAAAATAATAAATAAAATATCTTTCTCCTTATTTGAAGGATCTTGTATCATTTTGGTAAGTTTTTCTTTACAATGTCAAGCACAATGTCTAGATGCATACATTGTGCTTGACATTGCAGAGGAAAACTTACCAAAAACACATAAAACCGTAGAAAGAATGATAAAGAAATGTCATAAATTCAATTTTTTTGCCTATCTCTCTAATGTCACATGTGCACCGTGCACATTGTAGCATTGGAGATGCTCTAAACTAACTGTAGATCACTGTTTTATATAGTTTTCAGTATCTCATAAGCTTTTAAGATCAATTTTATGTTAAGTACTTCGTACATTGAAGTTCTAAAATTAGGATTTGTTTTTCATCTTTCAAATTGTTTAAAAAAAACAAATACAAGTCTTAAGTAACAAAAAAACATGGGAAAAGGGGCAAATAAGCACTCGAACTAAAAAAAAAAAAGTTCAAATAAGCCCTTATATAGGACGTTCTGTCTAGTCACCTCCATTTGGGGAGGTTCCCGGCAAAATTTTTTATGAAATTTTTTGAGCAACTTATTCATTAAGTCTAGTCTAGCCATACCAAATTGTAGCTAAAAATTCAAGTGGGAAGGATGTCTAATGATTTTCTGAAATATACTGCGCTGTTTAACTGCGATGTTATCTTCTAAAATTCATTTGACTGCCTTCCCGATTTAATTTTTAGCTGAAATTTGATATGCCTAGACTAGACTTAATGAAGAAGATTCTCACAAAATTTCATAAAAAAATTCCACCGGGAACCTCCCGTCTCCCGAAATGACGACGGTCGGACAAAATATTCTATATAAGAGTTTATTTGCACTTTTTTGGTTAGTTCAAGGTCTTACTTGCCTCCTTTTCCAAAAAGCATTAAACTCTGAGTTTATTTATTTTTATATCAAAATATTTGACTTTTAATCCAAATTATTCATAGAAAAAATCCACATATATAACTGTAAAGTAAGACTCTTATTAAAAAATTGTAGAGTAAATATATTAGAGAAATTACTCAAAATAGGAGTAAATGAAGTTTAAAATTCCAAACTAGGACTATTGTGTTTTTATTCCCGAAACAGGACTAACATGTTAGTACTTACTGTCATCTAATAGGCGTGACTGCCAAATAGTTGCAGTACAGTACATTTAACATGACAATATTAATTATAATTAAGAGAGAATTTGACTTTGCACCCCCACTTTTTGGGTGATATTGAAGTTTGTACTTCATTTTAAAGAAATTTTGATTTTCCTCTTCAACACATAACACTTTGTGAAGAAAAGTTTTTGAATAAGGCGCAAAGTAAAATGATTTTAAAGTGGAATGGAGCACTCTGACATGAAGTGCAGGACCGTCTAAAGAATTTGGAGCCCCTGGTTTAATATCTAAAATC